ATGAGAACTAACCCTGGAGCAACAAATCCAGCAAGGAAAATGGGTCAAAGAACAGATGTTTAGTGGATGACAGAGAGCAGTGGTACAGGTAACCAGGTCAGCAGGCAGGAACCCTGATTAGAGTTAACTGAACTCCATTTCCCTTTTATAATCAAAATACTTCAAAATCTAATTTATAACACCAGCCAATTGCAATAAAAATGACTTAAAAAGCTGTAGAAGCTTTCAGTTGCGAAAGCAATAAGATTTCATTATACTAATCCAGTTGAAAATCATCTTTATGGGCAAAGATTGCTAAATTCCCAATGTGCACATATTAAAATGACAATTAGCAATTTAAATAATCAAATATACTGATAAAATGAGCACAACTTAACCTCATCTGTTTTGGGGTGATTATTCATAGGTGGTTAAGAGATATCTTCCTGAAGACAGACAAGATAAACACATCCTATACTTCACATGACAAAAGTTAAAAGTAATAAGCTTTCTTACAATATGTCAGCACCACAGTTGCACACTTAACCTAGCTCTGAGCTGAAAAACATCAGAGTATGTTGCAAAGATATTTATGCTGGTATCACAGGAGGTGCTATAAATAAAAACAGTAGAGCTGAATGAGCTCAGGGGCACTGCAGCACGGACAGAGCTGTTTATTGGTTTTTTACTGGATTTTGGCTGGCACTTCCCCAGTGGCCTGCATCACATCATGTGGATGTACCTGTTTGGACGGAGAACATGTCCTTATGGGCCTTATAATAATCCTTATTTGTGCAGTATTAACAAACTTGAATGTCTACAAAACCCCAATTTGAATAGTAGTAGAAAAGAAAAAAACATCTGAAAGATTACTTTGTTAGGAATTACTGCATTTAAGAACAGCCAAGCTAAGGTATATGCAGTGATTACTAACAACTGTGGCGAGTATCTGGCTTTAATTTCACATTTTTAAAAATTAGTTCACACATGCTTCCAATTGTAGGGAAGGTTTTGTTTCCTCCCCCTTTCCTCTCAGATAGTTTGCACTTGCTAGTCTAATCATAGACCATATGAAGAGAAGGACCTAACCTCAGGCAGAATCACTACATCGATGTTGTTTCTTGCAGATGTGTGTCTAACCTGTTCTTAAAGGCCTGCAAAATACGGAGATTCCTGAGCAGCTTATTCCACTGCTTCATCATCTCCGTTGTAATTCTGTGCTCCTTAATGTCTAACTCTGCAGCCTGTGATAAAATTGGAGGTAATTACTTCTTCCCTATAAAACTAATACCGTGCACAAGCCTCTTTACAGTTGCTTTTTATGTAGTTGAATACTTACATCATCAGTTCATATTTTCTTTCAGTTCAACAACATGAATTCCCTCACAATCTTTCCTTCTAGGTCACACTTTAGAGACCTATTTATTCTCTCTTTTCTCATCTGGACTCTTTGTATTGAAACACGTGTTTAAGTACAATACTGAAAACTAGACAGAAACTAAGGATGTAGATGCAGGTTTACCATCCTCCTTTTGGTATAGTCTCAATAAGATGCTTGCCTTTTTCACAGTAACTTGCTATTTGTGTCTAGCTCATTATCTCTGCTAATCCCCACGTTCCTTCTGCTTTTTAAGAGCTAACCCTAGCCAGCTGTTTGGCATCTTTCATTTGTGAACCTGATCACCATCTTGCTGTGTGTCCTTGCACATATTGTCCTGTTTAATTTCACCTTGTTTTTTGCATCTTATTTTTCCAATTTGTTATGACCTTTTTTAATTCTACTCATCTTCCAATACAGTATCAGTTCCTCTTATCTTTCTAGGATATACATGTGCTCACCAGGTTCTGGGGTATCAAAGTCACGTTCTAACAAAATAAAGGGAGAATTTTCCAAGCTGAACAAATCTCTCTGGAAATGAGTAAGAAACTTTTTGGGCCCCCTTTTATGTGAAAAAGCAGTATTAAAGCTCCAAGCATTAGAAACTTTGCTTCATACTGTTCCAAAACTCCTTAACATAATGGCAGGAGGAAAATTCAGAAATATATGAAAAAACCTCCAAAACAAATAAACTCAGAAAACTAAGTTAAAACACCACCATAAAGCTGAAAAGTTCACAAAAGCAAAGAACACTCTTCTCACTTCATCCTGCTTAAAAATTGCCAGTGGAAACAAATATAGTTTGATGTAGGAATTTACTTTTTAAAAACAGGAGGGAGTTCAAGACAATTTAAAATGGAATTTCTTTGGGGTTGGTTTTGAGGGAGTGAATTTCACTGACACTTCTCTGGTATATATGAATTGTTTCAGCTTAGTCTTTACAAAGTACTGAAATATTTTTCTAACTTTTTTTTTGCTGAGCAAGAAAGCTTTGAGACAGAAGCAACAATGGAGAGATCATTTTGGACTGGATTACTTTGAATTGTTTTTATTAACACCTATCTAGCTAATCTAATATTAAAAAAGGTTTGAATTCTAAAAATCACATGGAAACAAGGACATGTACCTTGTCAATCCTTCCTAATGCAGTTCTCTAACTGTGAAAGGAAAACCAAGCCTTACTGCACTTGACAGTTTACAAAAGAAACAAGCTGAAAGTGGTCTCAACTTTTAAAAAAGTATTTCCTGTCTCACCGAAAATGTCAGAAAAACAAATTCAAATTTGCCCTTGAATGTTTTTCTTTTTTAAGATCTAGTACATTTGCCACACAATACACACTTCAAACTCTCTCTGCCTGATCAATGTTAAATTATCTGTCAGCAAGGGATTCCCAAACTCTGCTACACAAGCTACTTAAAAACAGCACCTCATACACCAAAATTTATCTCCTTGCTCCTCTCCCAGTCGAAACTGGGAACAGTTCTTTGGGAAGCAAGTGCTGCCTGCACATGCAAACACCTCTTTTTCTGTGCACAGTTTAACAAAACCAGAAGTTTTTCCTGCAGCTTTACCGTAACCTTTCTTATTCAACTATGGTGATGCCCAAGCAAAATAAGAACCCTTGCTGTAAATTTAGATGCTACTCTATGTCACCTGAAGGGTAAGCTGTACATCTTGTTGAACAGCTGAATGGATGTATCTGAAGTAGTTCCCGGTTCCAACATTTCTGATACTGACGCAACAACAGTTTGAGATCCAGAGAAGTTTGCAGAAAGCTTTTGTTAAAGTGTTTCTTCTTAAAACCCAATCACTGTACGTCTGTGCAACGCGATGATAGAAGTAGCAGAAACTAATAAGCAGTCTGTGTCAGGAAAGCTGACCTAGCATTATCAGCAATGGGAAATTTTTAAAGAAGTCAAAACTTGTGTGGAGAACACTCAGATTAATCACATAGTTGGAGGTCACTAGCAGTAAGAAGGATTACACTCAGACATTTTTCCACACATAAAAATCTCTCAAAATTCATTTTTGTTATACAAGAAAATGGCAGCTCTTAGAACATACACCTTTCTTTCATTTCTCTTTACAATTGACTGAAAAGAGCATGTTACTCAAGACTTCTCACCTAATGGAAGAACCAAGCAAGCTTGGCTTTTTTTTTTCCAGTACTGGATGTGTGCAAGTATGGTGGCCAAATATATTATGCAAAGGATCCTTAAAAAAAGAATGTTTTTACACCTGAGTCAAGGAATAAAGCAGAAAATGAGTGCAAAAGGCAGTCTTAAGATAGCGTTACTTTTGTGATGGGTGTATGTGGAGTCATTCCACTTGGTTGTATTATCCGTATAAAGCAAATTAATCAGTTTTTCCAAAGCAATCTCAAAAGATCTTTCTCATGCACACTGCATACTACCAAGCCATGTGAAATGTTTTTGCTGTTAGTATCTGCTTAGTAAAATGTAGCATCATTAAAGTCCCTCCACTTCAGTAGTATGCCTACTTCAGGAGTATGATAAACAACACTGAACAGAATAAACAAAAAAAGACAATTTCATTTGCATAGCTGGTTAGTAAGTTCTTGCTTACATCCACTTATTTGCAAATAATGTGTTGTTCTAAAATGGTAAGAATGCAAATGGCTTGTTTTCTGGTATATATGAGTAATAAAACTGTATAGATGTATTAAATCTTTAAGAATAACTTCTAAAAATATCTTTCTCTTATTCTATCAACAGGGAAAAAAACACTTAAGAAGGACACAAATTACACAGGCAGCTATAATGAATTACATTTCACTCTAGCCAGAGGCTTTGTTTCCCATTATTTAAGATAATTCCTGAAATACAATAAATAAAGAACATCTAATCTCAAAATGTACATCAACAGATTTAAACATTATTCTCATTAACCCCTCCAGAGCCTATAAAATAGGGTCAGCTGAAAGGGCTTTCAAATGGTCCTCGGCAGACACTACATCATGTTCTAGTGATCTATTGCTTGAAAAGGAAAAGTCTTTTACAGCTTAGCCCCTAAGGGTTTTAAGATCATAACACTTAAAATCTGTAAGTACAAGCTTTCTTTGATATCTGGTACAACACTATAAAATATGAATTAACAAGGACATTAATCATTTTACACAATATCATTATTAGCCACACTATAATCCAGAAAAAGGGACTGAAACACTATCATATGTATAACTTGTTTTAAAGTTTGCAAAGATATTTCAGTTTAATTAATGGAAACCACCTGTCTAAACACCATTAGCTCATCTACATTTTTTAAGGACTGGCTTGAAACAGAACTGTAATCTTTAACCAAGTCACACAAACATTCACTTGCAGTAAAAAGAGGCTGCTACAAAACCCAAAGTGCATTGTTTTTCTGTTATGGGGTTACAGTAGCTCAAGTCTGTAAGCACCAAAATCCCCACCCAGCTGATCAGTTACAGCTGTTAATTGTGGAGGGAGAGACTGGCTGACATCTGCTTCTTGCATAGTTAGTTAATGGTTCACTTCCAGGTCCTAAAATGATTGTAGCCTCTCTCAAAAGACAATGCCGGCCCCCATATATGTCTGCCTTCTACACTGCCTGTCTTCTGGTTTGTCACTCTCTACACAATGCAAATCTGAGTGAACTCACATCTGCCACTGATCGACCCAATTCGTGAGCAATCTTTTCCCATCGACCTGGAGTTCCCCCTGGGAACTTAACCATACTTCTTGTCAGCTGGCTGAGGTCCTCCTCTGTCCATTCAGGTGCCTGTAAAACATTTGTAAAACATTCATTACACTGGGATATTGGATATATTTGGTGAGGTAATATACCGGGGGGAAAAAAACCCAAAGCCTTCAAACAAATTAATCAAATCCTGTAAAAAAATAAAAGTTTCAAGTACCCGGGTGCCATCTCCCTGTGCTCTTGCCAAAAACGCATAAAAACAACAGACCAACATATTAAAAATCCTTAACACACAAAAAATGCATTTTGTATATTATATACACTAACACATTTAATTTCTATCAACATTTATACCATGTACATAACACTCTACAATGCAGTAAAGATAAAAGCCAACAATGCTTTTATTAAAGATTAAATCACAGTCTAAGATGCAAAATTTTAGATATTTATTTAATCGCACATACCAGATTTTTTCAGCAAACAAAAATAAAATATCCTCATTTTTACATTTTAAAAAAGCCTCTAAATAAAACAGAGCAGTAATTTTAGCTTTTTGCCACTATAATCATCCTATGTTTTAGCATTCTGGGATGATTCAAGAATGAAAACTGTTGATTCTAATATTCCATTAAGACTATTAAACAACACCCATCCTCCTGCTCCCCCTACCCTCCCCCCAACACGGTTATGCCACAAAACCAAACCGGATGCTTCTACCACCCAGTAACCAAAAGATATAAAAATGTTTTGCTCTAACTACATAAGACAATCTGTTAAAAATAACTGTCTTCATAACAGCCAAATAAAAGTGAACAAAGCAAGGAACACACAATTACAGCAGTTTAAGGCACAAAATCGCGTTTGTCTCAGAAGGCATAATGCAGTACCATCTTTGACATCTGCAGCATCTTTGGCAACGGCCACAGTGTCAAATCTTTGTTACCATTGGTAGTTTATAATTTTATTTATTTTTAAGGAATTTTTTATGGCATACCTCTTCTAATCACCATTTCCGATAACAAACAGGCACATATCAAGCTGTATGCACTACAGAGCCATCAGCACAGAACAACAGTCAGAGGTGAGTGACCCTAGGGACCATCTCCACAACTACAGCAAAGCTTCTCCCTGACACTAATCCTGCCTGTCATTCTCCCACTGTGCTCTAACCACACTGACATCCGCCCGCCGCACTGCAAGCTTAACGGGGCCCTTCCTGACTTTTTACTGTCTCCCCCAATCAATGGTTCAAGCGTGCTCTTTTCACCATGTCCAAATGGCAGCTTCACTCATAATCAAAGTGCACTGCTCCTGTTAAAGGGCTTCCCGAAAGGCTCCACCATTTGCATTCATTTGCAAAGCAAACTACTTTTATTCACTTTGTTCTGCTATCAAGAGTGTTCCCTGAAGCAGATAAATTGGCATAAATACACCCTGCCACTTAAAAGACAGTAAATAATAGCCAATAGTAGCACAGATTTCATCAATCTCCTAGTATGGATCCATGTAGTCCTTTATTCACTGCTGAAAGCCTCAGACATTCATATTTGGATAGTTTTTAATAAAAATATAAAATAATTATCTAGGATGATTCAAATGCAAGACGCATAAATAACATGTGTGTAAGAGAGAGATCTCAGACATACATCACATGCATTATCATACAATTACACTCTGGCCTACAGAAGAAATGATAAATACATACAAAATCTCCACATTGCACAACAACCCTATTACTTTCATTGTATAAAACAAGTTAATATACTCCATATATTTACTATATTATCCTCCATAGATATTTTATACTAAAATATTTCTCACGAGATTTTTATAAGGGAAGATTTGGGGTACTTAATAGTCTACATATAAAGTTTTTCATCACTAATTTAAATAATGAATTACCCTAAGATTTTTGGTCAAAAGCCTTTGGTTCAAAAATTAGTCAAATTTCATACCTCAAAATTAGCCTTAATATGCAGTTTATGGTATTTTCCATTTAATTTATATTCAAACTTTGGGGGGGGGGGGGA